ATGCTTTGCAGTAATCCAGTGATTTTAGCTTGTCAAACTGTACAAACATGTTCCCCATGTCACACTGTTAGACCTCAGTTGTCAAAATGTCAGACTGTTCAACAATCAAGACAAGTCATCTGGAGTTCGACGCCATCAATTCACGACACGTTCAATAACCGCTCTTCTGCAATGAAACCTCACAGCAATCATAAACAATCTGTAGTATTAATTTTACTTATTGCATGCCTTTATAAGAAAACAGTTGTGACATTTCCCTGGGGTGGTTTCAAGCCGTCACACTGATTGTGCTATCAGGTTCAACATGCCTATTGGTTCTTTGGTTAACGCTCAAATCATGAGAAAAATCACACTGCAGGAAAATGTCTGAAACCTTCTGCCATAGCCAGAATTTCATTGGAGGAAAAATCTGATCGCAATCAGCCTTTAATCAGCTGTTGGGGAACATGTCAAACCAACGATTAAAGACCACCGATTTTACACTAGGATTAAAGGGATCTTTTAGGATTCACATTTGTTTCAGATGATCTTTCTGAAAACTCTCCTCTGAATTCACAAATAGGGGAGAGTGAGGATGGTTGCAACATGGGGCAGTTGCAATAAGACTTCCTCCATTCAGGAATAAGCTAGAGTGATATTCATACTACATATTCTCAGTTAGACCCTCCTTCAAGCTGGGAGAAATCAGCCATATGTGACCATTCCTTCAGTATAAAACTCATTTTAAGGTCAAAAAGATTTTTTTTTTAATGTTCAGAAATTTTTTCATAATCTAATCTGTTTATGTAAAACATCATTCATGCACATAAATTAAAACATTGATTTCTTATCTTTAAATATTAAGCGTTAAAGCTATAATATCCACCTTGCATAGACAGTTTAATCATGTTTGACAGAGTTGGGACAGTTGCAACATGCTGTTGCATTTGTCCTCTATCACAAAATTCATTTAAAAGCTTGTCATATTAACAATGTACAGTTTTAATTTGATTAGTTTCAATGTAAATGAATTAAATGAAATGAAAAAGGAAAAAAATGAATTAATTTTAAAGTTCAAAGAAGCAGTTTAGTAAAGTTCCAGTCTAGATTTTAAACAAAACAATATTTTTGTTCACTTTTTTTTTTAGGCGTGAGCTTCTTTTGGTATGGCTGAAAGGGTTACCCCTTTGGCCTCGATATAGACAACATGCGGTCTGTGATTCAAGGATTTAATATCAATTTTCCAAATCTCCAAAGCTTCTGCAAACTTTTAGGCTGGCAGTGAAATAGTTCCTCCAAACAATGAAGTAAGTTTCCACCAATGGCCAGATTAACACCAATAACTGGGAGAATCTGAAAGTGCTGTCTAAATTTGATCTGTAATGTCTTGTCAAGTGTTTATACTGTTCTTCAAAATATATGAAACTATTGAAATACACTTAAAACCTCTTTCTTTACCTGTCAGGGTAAATCCAAATAGAACTACAGATTGACCTGGGAAATTATGCAATGGTAGGTTGTTCTCTAATGTTTATTTCCACTTAATTAAGAGAACACTTGACATTATTTAATTTCGAAGGGTTTCATTGATTTAGGGGTTTGATCAGGGGCGGCACGGTGACTCAGTGGTTAGCACTCTCGCATCACAGCAATAAGGTTGCTGTTTGAGTCCTGGCTGGGCCAGTAGGCATTTCTGTGTGGAGTTTACAAGTTCTCCCCATGGTTGCGTAGCTTTCCTCTTTGTGCTCCGGTTTCCCCCACAGTCCAAAGACATGTGCTATAGGTTAATTGGAAAAACAAAAATTGTCCATAGTGAATGGGTGAGTGTATGGGTGTGTCCAAGTACTGGGTGGGGGCTGGAAGGGCATCTGCTGCATAAAACATTTGCTGGAATAGTTGGTGGTTCATTCCACAGTGGCGACTCCTGACAAATAAAGGACCTAGCTGGAGCAAAATGAATGAGGAGTTTGATCAATTTGATGCTTTATGTTTCATTTAATTTGATTTAATAGCAAGTTTCTGGAGTAAAATTACACACCTGAAATCAACCATGTCAAATAACGTGATCAATGCTATAATAATTCAATGACAAATCAAAGAGAGAGCCGTTTCAGTGGTAAAAACAGTAGTCCAGTAATATTACAGAATTGTTCAAATTGAATACTGATCTATGTATGCATTATTAGCACAACAATGCAAATAAATGAAACAACTGAAGTACACCATAAATAAAACACATGACAGAGAAAAATAAGATTTGTTGTTGTTTTTGTAATGGACATACAGCTTAAATAAAGTCAGTATTACATTGTGAACTGCATCACGATTCCACGCATGCAGAATTTTAATCTGCTTTTAATCAATTTAAAATCTACTCATTTTTATCCGCTGATTTCATTGGTAAATACATGTGAAGAATGGACTGTTATAAAACCATGCATTTGCTGGTGTGAGGTTACGAAGCATTTTTCAGCTCTAAACTTGCTTAAAGAAAAACTACTTTATTTTGTTCAGCCTGTGAGGTTTAACAGCACATACTACATTTCCTTGGCAAACAGTAGTTCAGTAGAAGAATACATTCACATTCTTTGTCATCTGTACTCTTCTCCACAGAAGCCCTGAGCAAAAGGTCTTGTAAACAAGCATCACATTCAGTTACTCACTTCATGCCACCAATACTATAATAATCAGCAATAATATATTCTCAGTCTACCAACTTGTGCTGCTAACCGATTGGTTACACTGATCACAAGTTTCTTCTTTCTTATGAGTGGATGATACATTATGGATGTATCCATAAAAGATCAGCACATCCAAAAATGAAACAATCATTAACTCACCCATATGTGCCATTTAAATTCCTCATTCAAAGAGAAAATTCAGTGTTTGCAGAATTAGGTTTTATATAGCAAGTGAGTGTGGACTAATCAGATATATATCCCTCACAAATGTGTTTCGGAGGGCATTTACAACTGTCCTTTTCACGATTGGCTTGCTATACCATCAGAGACAACATAAAGTGACCTGGAGCCTCATGTACAACAACTTGCGCTGAATTAATACTAAAACATTGCGTACGGATAAAGCTGAAAATGTGCGTATGCAGAAACAAAATCAGATGTATGAAATACTGCGTACGTGGAATCCCACGCATATTCTCTTTGTACATCCAAATTAACATGAATCTGAGCGCACGAGCATGAATGCAAAACCCCTCCCTGCCTCCTTCCCTATTTAAATAGGATAATGACTCCACTTTGGCAAAACCAAATGAAAAAGCAAATGGTAAAAGCAAGCAAGAGAAACTTTACAGAATGAGAATTGGAGATGCTCCTATCAAAGGTAGACTAGTGAAAAATTGTATTATTTGCAAGTTTGTCCTCCGGAATTAATAACAAAAGAAAAAAAATAGAGTGGAAGAGTTTATCTGACGTGGTTAATGCAGTAGGGTTTAAACGTCGCACTGTGAATGAATTAAAAAAATAAATTGTCCGATGTAAAGGTGCAAGTTAGGAGGAGAACAGTAACCGTGAACTAGCACCCTTTGAGAGAGTGGTCTCAATTTGACACTTTACTGTCTGGAGTAGTATTCGTGTCTGTGGGAGACACAGATGTATTAGAGGAACACTTTGTTAGGGTGGTATAGCAGCACCCATCAGCTCAAAGCAGCGCCACCACCATTTCAGCTGCCCAATCGCCAGCTCTACAACTGACCGAGTGTGAGAATGGGCATCATTGTTTCTGCGCTCTTGGTCAGTTAGTGGGTTGTTGAGGGGGTTAACAGCCAAGTCTTTAATGGCTAACAGCGGTCTCCTGATATGAAGTTAAATAATTACGCTCAATAAAATAAAAAAATAAAAACTTAGCTGGAATTATATCTTTAAAATACATCACTCACCAAAAAGCCACCCATCGCGCACCCTGCCACCTTGGAGCCTTCGTAATCGACCATTGACAATTTACTCTAATAATGCCAACACTGCCATTGCCATAGACTAAGGGTTGTATACATTTGCAAATACTTTTATAGGTTCTAAAATCACATATGAGGTTATATATATATATATATATATATATATATATATATATATATATATATATATATATATATATATATATATATATATATATATATATATATATATATATATATATATATATATATAAATATATATATTGTCAATTAACCAATTATAAATGTTTTTTACATTTGTTGGTGCGATACTTTGTAGTGTGCAATTTAACATAATTGCCTCTAGGAGTCACCAATGGAAATAAAACAAACACACACAAGAAATACACGTACGCCAGACATGAAGTTGGCGCGGACCAATGCACAATCTCACATTAGTTTCATCGCTAGTAAACCCAAACATGAGCATAATATCTGGCGTAAGCAAAGTTTTTGTGCATGCACAGCACTGATACATGAGGCCCCAGGTGTAAACAGTCCCTATATGTTATATAGGGAGTGCAAAAAAAAAAAGCTACAAAGGAGGGAAAGAGTAACTTTGTAGACAGACAGATACAGTAGATAGATTTATGTTTATGTTTAAAAAGCTTATTTTGTGTGTGTGTGTGTCTGTGTGTGTGTGTGAGAGAGAGAGAGAGAGAGAGAGAGAGAGTAGATTCAGCTGTAGGGCTGCCTGATTAATCAAATGCAATTTTCATGCACATTCATCCTCCTTACGCATACACGCAAGGCATAATGGTTAATTTTGCTTTCGAAAAAAAAGGTCTAATATATACATACAAATTTGTAAAATGCACTCACCTAAAAATTGTCCCAATCATTGTAAAATTATGAATTTTCATATCACAATTTATAAATTTGCAGAAAAACTAAATATTGCAATGCAAGTTTTTTTTTCAATATCATGCAGCCCTAGTTTGGAGTGATATGAAGGTGAGTATGATGATGGAAATTTCATTTTTCGGAGCGTGATCTGATACGTTTATCGGATACTGTCAGATAACTATTCCTTTATGAGTTTGTCGAACAATCTGTTGAGAAGCGCATGCTGTATCCAAAATGCAGTTTTTATTTTGTGCAAGATTGAGTATAATAGATAGATTTACTTTGCCTTCTTTCCCCAGAACTGCAGCACAATGTTAAGGTTATCCAGTCATTCCTTGGCGAGTCTCTGTATTAGCGAATACCAATCTGTCCGTTTGTGTGTAATGTAGGTGGGTGTTATGATGGGAGTGGGCAGGCTGGGGAAGCCTTCAGTTTTAATGCTCTCACACAGAGCCTCTGCATTACAGATTACATACATGCCACAATCATAACTGTTCTGCTGAGAAGGGCACTGCTCCTCCACAAAAGGCACTTTCGCCCCAGCTCCAAGAAAAGCTTCCAACTTGGCTGCAATACGGCGGGCATGCAGAGAGTTACTTCCACTCTGGGAGTCGTAGTGGGCAAACTGGCTGGTGTCTCGCCGATAGAGGAGCAGGCTCCAGTGAGAGCCGCCAGCCGTTTGATTCGAGTTGTCATTGACTGCCAAAAATACCCAGCGACGAGACGCGAGGCTCAACGGCTCAAGAAAAATGGCAAGCTCCTCATGACACGAGGCGTATTTGATAAACTGAGCAACTTCAGGGCTGATGAAACATATCTTATCGGAAAGGCTTTTGAAGCATTCAGTTGTAAAGTATTCAAAGGCAAAACCTATGACCTGATCGTTGAGCCAGTGCGGGCCATTGAGAAGTGCCACGTCTGAGCGCCGCAGCAAACTGTCCTGGTAGCTCAGCACCACTGGATCCATTCTCAAAAACAGCAGCAGTTACTGTAAGATGACAATGCAGAGATTTTATTGATTTGCATTTATGATCCATTCCACTAACACAATACTTCTGTAATGGTAAACTGTCACTTACACAACAACAGATGTTCTGTTATTCTTACTATATTATTCGATTACCATATTTGACATTATTTGCTTACCTTTTGTATTATATGCACAAGGCATGCAATGGTTAAAATTGTCATGCCATAATTATTACTCAATATTGTATCACGGTATCTGGTATTTTAATAAAAACAAAACAGGTTATTTACGTTTACAGTAAAGTATTTGTGTCTGTATGTGTACTTTTAGAAGCATGTTTTTTTATTTATATACAGCAAGTTATGTGCAGTTACATTTCCTTCATTAGAAAAGTGTGCTCTAACAATAATAATAACAACAATAATAAATCATAAACAGAATAATTCACAGTATTCTGAAGTGCCAACATGGTATTTTAATAAAATACAAAAAATAGATTAAAAATATCAATGAATTTCAGTGTTTTTGTATCAATAAAAACAAAAAAAAATTCAAAGAGTTCAATTTTGTAGGCTTACAACTCCTAAAACATGTTTTTCATTTATATACAGCAAGTTATTGTTTTTGGTATTGTTATTATTGTTATTAAGTTGCTTTTTATGAAAAAAAAAAACAGACAGAATAATTCACAGTATTTTATATATTACAGATTACAGAGATTACATAGCTTCTGTAATTTATGTCACAATCACTGTATGTTTTCTACTTTGCACCATTGAAAATATATTCATTTCCATATATAGTACCATTATCAATGCAGTCTATTTCTATAGGTCAAAGATGAGATTCCATTTTGGTGTCTGCATCAGATTATATCTACAAAAGTGATTATGCAAATAAAGTGCATATACTTTTTTTTTATGTGTAAAATATTGTTTAAAAAGTAACAAATGGGTCAGATTGTGTTATATCATTATTCAGAGTAAATTATATACATGTAAAAATGCAACAACATACTTATTCTCATGTAATTATTAAAATATATATAAAAGGACTTTGCTAATGCATTTTAAATTATATTGTAAATTATTTCAAATTGTATTGCTGGAAAATGGCCAAAACCTAGTTGTGGAAACAGCACTGGCCAAAAAAGGTGCAAATGATAATTAGTTGGTATTAGTCATGTCATGTCATCAATTGATTTTTGTTATAATTAATATAATTTGTTTGGTTGCATTTGTACAGATTGAATTGTAAAAGTGCACAATTACATTATTATTATTATTTTTATTATTATTAACTTAATCTACTTATTTTCTAAAATAAATAAATCGCTTAAAGCAGAGGTGCCCAAACTCGGTCCTGGAGGGCCAGTGTCCTGCATAGTTTAGCTCCAACTTTCTTCAACACACCTGTCTGGAAGTATCTAGTATAGCTAGAAAGAGCTTGATTAGCTGGTTCAGGTGTGTTTAATTGATGTTGAAACTAAAATATGCAGGACAACGACCCTCCAGGACTGAGTTTGGGCACCCCTGGCCTAAACAGTACATTTTACTATCCCCACTCACTATTTTCATGTTGTAACAGCCTTTTTTACCCTCAGTACTCACATTTCTGTGTACCTACTGTAATAGTAGGTCATTTCAACAATAATACAATTTAAAGGTTACTTTGAAAGTGCTCCAGCATCACTTTAGGATGTTTCATTTACTGCAAATAATAGAATGACTATATAAAGATGTTTTTATTTACCATTCACAGCATCATTTGAATACGTTACAAATCTATTTATCAACATATATACTAATGACACAACCACTGACTGTATTGATCTTACTAACTTATTAAATTTGTTATTTCCCAACAATTTATATTTCTTTATTTTATTTTTTATTAGTACTGTCTCACTGTGGCAACTAATATCTGAGGTAACTTTTACAAACAGCATATTCAAAGACTTTTTAAAGCATCATAACTTTAAATCAAGCTCCTTTGTAATTTACACCCCAGCTTATTTAGTGTGTGAAAGTCCTTACTGTACTTAACAATTCACTTCACCTAAAAATGTCACAGTAAAAAATACCATTTAAAAACAGACATGTTCTAAGAACGTGAATAAAATTTGTTGATTTCAATGCAGGTAATACTCAAGTGCAGTTTCTGAAATATTAATAAAATGCACATTATTTGTCAGCGTTACTGTACTAGACTTAAATTTAAGATTTTAAAATGAAGAATTTCTCAGTTTTCTAAACAGTTTTTAACAGCAGTAAAATTGTTTAAATTACATAACAAATTTTATTTCATATTTAATTCAAGCACTTTTAATGACCTATGTTTGTTTTTAGGTACTTGTCAGGCCTTGAATAAATACGTGTAAAATTCATTTACTTTCAAAAAGTGTGGGACCCCTTTGGTTTGTATTTTCCTAAACAGCACCATTTTCAGTGTAGTTATTTATTTATATGCTTACATAACTACCTATTTGCCGTTATGGCTGTACTATTAATTCTACTGATTACACAATAAATATGTTATTTATAGTAAAATTTAAATAATTGAATACTTGTCATGGTGTATGCAGCTGATGTCAAAATGATTTACCCCATTATTAACCCCCATTTGATATATATATATATTTTTTTATTATTATTTGTATTTTTGAATATTTACCCAAATGATGTTAACAGAGCAAGTAATTTTTCACTGTATGTCTGATAATGTTTTTTTATTTGTTTTATTTCGGCTAGAATAAAAGCAGTTTTTATTTTTTTTTAAACCATTTTAAGGACAAAATTATTAGCCCCTTTCAGCTATTTTTTTGATACAGTCTACAGAACAAACCATCATTATAGAAATAACTCGCCTGATTACTCTAACCTGCCTAGGTAACCCAAATTAACCAAGTTAACCCTTAAAATTTCCCATTAATCTGTATAGAAGTGTCTTGAAAAATATCTAATCAAATATTATGTGCTGTTATCATGGCAAAGATAAAATAAATCAGTAATAAGAAATGAGTTATTAAAACTATTATGTTCAGAAAGGTGTTATTTTTTTCTCTTCGTTAAACATAAGATGGGGAAAAAATAAACAGGGGGGCTAATAATTCTGGCTTCAACTGCACTTAAAATGTGTAAAAGCATCTGCAATTAAATGTGCCAAAGTTATTTGCATAAACTGTGGAGACAATTTAGAGATTTTATTGATTTAAATGCATACTCTAGTGGCTAATACTATGTTATAAAATCTATTCATCAATGTGTTGACATATCAGTTCATCTGCCCATTCTACTAACAGTAATTTATCACCAGCTCATATCACTTTAGTTTTGTAATTATTTCAAGAACAACACTTACACCCTGACCTGTACTTTTTAGTAACATAAGTAGACCCCTTCAAAATAGCCTATTAACGTTACAGTATTTACACTATTATTTTAACCGTTCTCGAGCATTAAAGTTGTCTTCCATGCACTACACTGGTGCAGGCCAAACTAACACAACGACTCCAAAGCAAATAATTTTTCGTTCTCTACCTTCTTTATCTGTTAATCTAGTCTGTAAACATCGTTTCTTACCTCGCAAAAGAAACAGCACCAAAATAAAACTATCATACCGTCCACCTTTCTCTACCACTGGCGCGATGAGGGCAGCTGCCGTAAACATTTAAATGTTGTGACAGAAAATGTCGTGCTTTTACACCCTTTGCGACAGTCTTTAAGGGGCGGATCAGACGTACACGCCTCTTTCTCAAGCTCGTCGTTGATTGGCTTGTTGTCGTGACGCGTCTAGTTACGTATTTGTTCTGTGAAAGGCAGCCACCGCCCATCGCCGCAGCTGACCCCGCCCATCCGCCGAGTCCAAGAGCCGCAGCGAGTACGCGCAGCGCGCGCTTGAACGCTGATGAGAAGCAGCACTGATTAAGCAGAAAAAACAGAAAGGAGTTTCAGCGAGCGACTCCCACGAGAAAAGAAACGGCGCACTGTTAGGAATTTTCAATGGGGAAAAAGCCTGTAGTTTTCTTTTAATCAAAATGGCACAACGGCACGCATGTTTGGACACGGGAAAGTTGCAAAGGACAATCTGAGAGAGACCTTTCTGGGATATTAGAGCTGCGCTGGATTTGATCTGTCCTTAAAGGAGAAGCGCAGCACACTGGATTTTTACACTGAGCTCATAGAGGTGAGGTTTATTCTGTGTTGTTTTTGCACTTATGCTGTCGGCGAACTTATCGTTCCCATTAACCCGACCCGCTGTTGAATCGAAGTTCCCCAGCAGCAGTGGGAGCGAGCGAGACATCAGAGTTTCATCCCTTGCTTTATGTCTGCTTGTCGGGACGTTTGCGCGCTAACTCGTGGCATACGTGCATCACCAAATTGTGATATTTCTCTTGCTTCAGTGTCAGTAGACACCAGGGTAACCGGCGAAGGGTGATATGAGTGTACTTATGTTAGAATAACTTTGAGCTGACATTATAGAGCCGCTGAGTAAACCCCTTTTGAAGTGTGACAGATGTCCTGGGTGGAGACAACGAGGATGATGATGATGATGATGGTGCATGTATTATTGAAGACTTACTTCACCCCAGCACTGCAGTAATCACGGGGCAAATCTGCACAGTCATCCGGACCCTGTCACAATGTTTCATTTCCCTTTCATTCACTGGTCTATTTTTGGACAATCAGTGGTCCTAGTAGTATTTGTGGACTTAAGGGTGTATCGATGCCATTGCATTTATTTGGTGGACTAGTATACAAAGTTGCTACTGTTAACAAATGATACTGCTGCTTTTTTGTTTTATAAATTTGTCTTAGTCAGTTTGTTTGACCTTTATTCATCTGATGTTGCAGTGATTTGAATAGTGGATGTGTGAAGTTCACTTTTAGGTGTTCTCAGAGTAGCCAGAAATGTTCATCACGTTAGCAACATTTGACATTGAGGTTAAGTTGGTTTTATATGTGCACATTCGTTCAGTGACAACTTTTGACATGCTCCCTGTATTGTTTACCATGGTTCTTTATAAACCATTTTGAGGGATGTAAACAAAAACAATGGTCCCAAAGAATTTCCTGTTTTACATCTTTAGTTTCTATAGCTTACGACAATCCAAAAAAGAGCCACATCTTGATAAATAATTTTATGATAGCCGTTTTGACATTAAGTTATGTTTAAATTGCCCATTGTTACAGTTAAGGGCCAATGACATGACCAGATTGAAATGGTCTATATTTGGTACATATATTTGGTCTGAAGTCACATGCAAGTATGACTTCAAAACAACATTAGCACTATTCATTTGACTGTGAACAATGTTGTCCTTTGATAGTCATTGGCTGCTACTATGATATGACTATATAGAATTAGCACTTTTCTGAAATTATATTATTAAGGAGAATGTCCAAACGTGTGAATATAAACCAACTGCACCTCAATGCATTTGACAGTCACAGAGGGATTTTTGTCTTTACTACATATAATATAGCTGACGTTGATCATTTGAATTGGAAACAAATACTTTTGTTTCACCTGGGGAGTGCTTGTGCTTTTAAATCAACAGCAGCAGCAGCAACAACACGACATGGTTTGTTTTCAAAAGAAGTCCAAATATTTTACATGTGTGCAAATACGTTTTAGGATTACATATTCGTGTTGTTATGGTGTTTTGGAGCGACAGAGGAAAGTTTACTGTTTGTTTGTGAGAGTGTTGTTTTCCCAGCAGAGCAGCACAGGTGATCTGAGGAATGTGAAGGGTCTGGCTCAGCTGTTAAGGCGGTCTGAGAGATTGTGCCAAGACATGACTTTACTCCGACAACTGGCTTTGTATATAACATACGAAATGTGCTAAAAGCCTCCCAGTGTGCTCAGTCAGAGAGCTGTCTGCATGCTTTCGAATCAGATCCATGTAATGTTTGAAATAAAGCTTTTCTGAATGCACACACTAACAAAATCAGACACATTCAGCAGTAAAATACTGTAATGTTCATCACACATGTTTAAAACACACACAGCGCTTTTGTAGAGTCATATATAGAGGCCTTTGGTTAAAAACAATCACTTCACAGGTTTAAAATTCCTTCTTATTAAATATTAACACAGTGCAAAAATAGAAGTTGCATCATATAGCCTGGAGGGAGAAGGTTATTCTGGATGAGAACACTCAGACACTCTTTTTAGTGACTGTACTTCGGGACTGTACTGCCTCAACTCCATCCCACCCTCCATCAAATCCATTTTAATTCAAAACATTTAAAATAAAAATGCTTTATTTTTCTAGATTTCTGATTAAAAATAAATTATTAGAAAAAAAGTTTGAAAATGAAATGATGGCTAGAACATCATCAGTTTAGTTCATTTAAACATTTATTTATATTATTATTATTAAATAAAGATTGACAGTTCCTATTCTAATCAAAGTACTTTACAAGGGAGACAATTATTTTACTTTGAGAAGTTTATTCTACACGTTAGTCTGGGAACCATACATACATACACACTCATTCACACTCACACACTATGGACAATATAGTGCATGTCAGGACTATAGGGGAGAACATGCAAACTCCACACGAAATGTCAACTGACCCAGCCGAGGCTTGAACCAGTGACTTTCTTGCTGTGAGGTGATCATGCTACCCACTGAACCACAAAATGTATAATGCTTTTTTGCTAGCTCGCATTGTTATCCTTAGGGTGAACAATTCATCCATGCAAGTTAATCCTCTGAGAAAAAAGTTTGAGTTTAATCAAAGTCTGACCATATGCTTCCGCCTTTGGAGTGGCAGTTGTTCTTATATTCTTAACCACGCCCCTCTCATTGTTAGTTTGCAATGAGGGAATGATGTGCAAAAAAGAAAGCCCTGTCCCCTACTCAATATTCTGTTTAAGTTGGAAGTACATCAACTACGTCTGTCACTAATCCCTATATCAAAATATAGTGCAATACCTAGACATGATCTCAATTCACAAATGTTCTTAAAACCATTTTACAATTACATTTCTCACCGTGTCAAGATATCATTTCTATAATTTGTATTTAAATAATTTAATTTATATAATAGGACTTGGACGCAGTAGCGCTGTAGGTAGTGCTGTCACCTGACAGCATGAAGATCGCTGGTTTGAGCCTCGGTTGGGTAAGTTGGCGTTTCTGTGTGGAGTGTGCATGTTCTCCTAGCGTTCGCATGGGTTTCCTTCGGGTGCTCCGGTTTCCCCCACAAGTCTAAAGACATGTGGTACAGGTGAATTGGGTAAGCTAAATTGTCAGTAGTGTCTGGGTGTGAATGGGTGTTTATTGATGTTTCCCAGAGATGGGTTGCAGGACATCCGCTGCGTAAAACATATGCTGGATAAGTTGGCAGTTCATTCCGCTGTAGCGAACCCAGATTAATAAAGGGACTAAGCTCAAAAGAAAATGAATGAATGATTAATAAGACTTTTTAACATCAAGCTTTTTAACATATCTTTAACTAGGGCTGGGCGAAAAGGCAAAAATGCAATCACGATAATTATTTTTCATATTGAACGATAACGATATATATATTTCAATATCAGTTGTTAAAGCTTCCAGATTTAAAAGAGAACACCAACAATGACTAAAGCCTCAAAAGTTAGAGAGTCTATTAAATGGCATAACATATTTTTGGCCGATAAAATTTTGGTGGTTGAAAATTTGGTACATCTCTAATATCAACACACTTTTAGATACCCATTGTTGCACATTTCTCCTGTGTGATTGGCTCTTAGATCAATATAGAGTAAAAAGCCCAGAGCTTATCATCTCAATAATATCACTTAATGCAACAATTGCTGACAACATATCGCACAACAAAAATTATTAACCTGACAGGCCTAACATCGACATATTAATATAAAGTATTAGCCACTTCCAGTTCACGCTCTTCATATTTTGCAATTCAACCCATTCTGTGGAAATCATTGGCCTTCAAGAACTCTATCTAGCCATCTTTTTAGCATATTTTAACACATTCATACCTTTTTAACATCAGTTTACAGAATCTAAATAAAATTAACAATGGAAAGTCTTTGTCCCTTTGTCCCCAATACTGTTGTATTGTAATTATATAATTACAATACAACAGTATAATATATACTTATAATTATTATATAATTATAAGTAGCATAATATTATCTCAATAATATTGCTTATCGCAACATTTTCTGTGACAATATATCGCAAAACAAAAATCATTAACATGACAGGCCTAACATCAAAATACTAAAACAAAAGTTTCAGCCTTGTTCATTGTATTCTGAGATTCAGTTCACACTTTAGAAATCATTGGGCCTTATGAACTCTATGACTTCTGGAGTATGACTGATCACAGGAGACTCTGTATGATGAACCTAGGATGTAGGAGAAATCTGAAGCATTTCTGTACCACAACAATAAGCGGAAACTGCCATAGGAAGCAGTGAAACTCACGGCCATCAAGTTGACTGTACTTTAAATTGGATTTGGCTGTTTATATTTACTGCACTGATGCTACATGAATACTGAACTGTAAATAATTACATAATAAAAAGTCATGACAACTCACATTACTAGCTTAATTTAGTAAGTTAATCGGGTTTCAACTTATTTATTATATTTTAAGTTAAACAATTTTTTTTAAAAGTCAGGTTAATTGATGAAAGTTAAAATGACTTGTGAAGTTAAATTGGTTGAACTTAAAAATTTAAGTAAGCAAGAGATTTTTTACAGTGTATTTATGTACATTTGTTATAAACTAGCAAATGTGTGTGTGTGTGTATATATATATATATATATATATATATATATATATATATATATATATATATATATATATATATATATATATATATATATATAGTGTTTATCTCTTAAATGTTTATCAGTAGAGTATGTCAGCAGTACTTCAGACAGTAAGTAATTTAGCTGAATCGCAGATCACTGACAGCTGAATGCAGACAGACAGCTGAAAGGGAGTATGGGGTATGGGTCATATTCCTGGGCTGTAAATAACTAAAAACACCAGTGATTATTACTTTTGCCATTTGTCTGAAAGCCTTCAGTATTTCAGATACAGGCTAATGTGTGTTGACAGCTTACGTTGTCCACTTACGGCCAAGTCAATTTTCATATAAAGATATGCATGCAATTGCAGTCTTATTTTGCTTACTTTATGCATTTTGACTTTGCA